TTTTTATCAAATATTAAAATACGGGTGTGAAACGAAAGAGTGTCAAGATATTTTTAGTTTGAGCATTTATAATGTTTGAACAGAATTGCCACATGTTTAAAAAGTTACGTTCAAAATAATCATAAATTAAGATGAATTTTTAAAAGATGGATATCAATAAAAAGAGGTTTCAAAAGGCGTTATTTCTGACCCTTATTTAGGAGGGTTGCCACATGTTTGAAAAATCTTACTCATCTTAATTCATTAGTTAATTGAAATATGTATCACAATGTTAGAAGAAATATATTTAAGAAGGTTTTCGTTTGAAAATACTTTTGAGAAGGATTTACAGCTGTTTGAATAGTCGAATTAAGTCAACTATACGCAAGTTATATAAAATATTAAAATATGAGTGTCAATCGAAAGGGATTTATCAAACCTTTAGTTTGAAAACATCATTTAGTTATTAGGCTTGCCATCTTTTCGAAAAGTTATACCGATCTAACAAGTATACATATGTGTATATTAAACGAAAAAGAATTTTTCGTGAAGATTATTTGATTTGCATCGTTCTTTTGAATTTCAAATATGAGAGGACGAAGTAAAGACATTGCTTGACCTGTAGATATGTGATAAGATTTACTGAAGTTAAAACTTTTTTTATCGGTACAGGGTGATTTGAAATTTGATGATATTAAAAACCGGCATTATGCTCGAAATATGCCAATAGGATCGCGTATAATTCTGACAAACATTTGGAATAGTACTAGGTTTTTGAATAAAAATTTAGGGCGTTTTAACGCCATGCGAGTTTACTAGTTAAATACAAAACAAGAAATCGTGTAGATGCTATGAATATATAGTCCTTATCATAATTTTACGACACTCACATATTGACAGCATTTGACCATTTGTCTTAATATCTTTTAATTTTAGTTATTTGTTTAAAAAAAGCCTTATAAATCCAAGTTTGAACCTTTATGCAACATTTGAAAAAAATCTAAAAACTTTCTAAAAAATTTCGAACTTTTTAATTTGGTTATTTAGAAATATTTTAAGTATTCAGTTTTATAGCCCATTCAATTTTACTATAATAAAGTGCAAGTTTAAAGTCACTGGTCCTTACAGTTGATTTATGTATTTTTTTAAATTGACGATGCCAGTCATTTTCTTCCATACGAAGCATTCTCGACGATTTTGTTTATGGAGAAAATGAGTAACACCTTCAACGAAAAAAATTCCCAAAAATTAAAGGCAATTGCGAGCTACTTGCAACTTGAATGGGCTATAAAACTGCATACTCAAAATATTTCTAAAAAAGCGAATTAAAAAGTTGGAATTTTTTTGCAAATGTTGCACAAAGATTCATACTTAGATTTATATAGTTTTTAATTAAAGAATATACTACATTATTATAAAAGAAATCATTAAAATTAAAAGATATTAAGACAAATATTCAAATCTTGACAATATGTAAGTGTGGTAAAGTTATGAAAGGACTATATATTAGGGCGGGTCGAAAAACACAAAATGTTTCATATGAAAATTGCATAGGTCTTAACGGAATTAAAATACTTCAATATCTTCAGTCTGCGGAATGAGCTTGAAAAATTAAAAATAAGAGTGGGAATACCTTTTTTCAAATTTTTCCAACGACTTGTGTAGATCCAATCCGGAATTTATTTTAATCTTTATTTCCTTCTTAATTTATTAAAATATTGATATTATCTACTTGCTTTTATTTTGTCCAATTTATTTTTTTTATCATTTTTCACGCTGGCGAAGAGATTTACATGATTTCTTGTTCTATAAATAATATTGTGCAAGCCTAAAAAAGGGATTATGATTGAAGATTAAAATAAAAAATAAAAAACTTAAAAAAAATGGTCTTAGTTAAGAAGCTCGAAATTTTTACGAAAGTTTGTTGGTTTTTTTTGATTTGAACAAAGATTAAAACTTGGACGTATATAGTTTTTGTTAAAAAATAAACTATATTTATAAAAACAAATAAAGTTACGATAAGCACTACATGTATGTCGGATCGAACTTTCGAACACTAGTTTTTGTCTATTTCCGCGGTGAACGTAGAAAATTTCACTTTCAACTGTGTAACCAGACATTTGTATGCGCACAAAAATATTAAGGACTTGAAACATATACTAAAAATTAAAAACCTTTCCATAACCGTTCTTATTAATTTTTATTATAAGAGAGTATTTTACAAAAACATCTGTATTCAATAGTTACAATAAATTAATTAGTCTCGGCTTAACCAGTATTACCCCGATGTATTACATGATTAAAGGTATGAATTATATCAAAATGCCCACTTCTGCTAAAATGCGCACAAATTAGCCATAAATTGTTTAATGCAAGGCATATTAAACAGGTGTTCAGTTAGTCTAGGTTCAGACGGAGAAACTTTTGTTGCCGCAACTCGTTACTTTTGGGAGAGGGAGCGACGAGGAAGGGGGAAGGGCGCCGAGTTGATCGTGCTCGGGCAACACGCTTTGTGTTCTTATTCGTCTCAGTTCGCTGCTAAGAAATTTGACATTCCTTTTCATTTACAAATTCTTTCAGTGCTTGCAGTTTTGTTGAGGTTTATATGAATACATACGGTAAGTTGTGAAATTGAAATTTGGCTCTTGATTTTTTGTACTTAAATATTCACATGTATGTTTATATATGCATATATTATATATATGAACATTTCAGAATATGGAGTACCAAGATAAAATTGAATTAATGCAAGATATTTTTGAGTGCATCGAGGAAGCCGTCGAGATTGATTCGGATGATAGCGAAAGGGAGGACATATGTAAAGGTTTGTACTGAGATTGTAGATTGGAAATTGAATACTAAATGAAAGGTATTTTTTAAACTCCAGGACTAATCGATATGTGTGAAAAAGTGGCAAAGATGCCTATAAGGAAAAAAAATCGTGAATGGACAAAGGTGTGAAGGAAAGCGAAGTCGGAAAAAGGATCATTCGCGTTCTTAACAAAAGAGCTATTGATATCGGACAAAGCTAGCTATAAAAATTATTTGCGAATGACTGAGACCCAATTTAATTTCCTGCTTTCATTCATTAAGGAAGACTTCAGAAAGCAAGATACCATAATGCGGTCCGCAATTTCTCCAGCTGAAAAACTGTCTTTGACACTGCGGTTTCTTGCTACAAGTAAACTTCAATACAAACTTATATATGCAATGAAATATGTATGTAAAAAATTTGTAGCATTAAAACTTGCGTAGCCAGGAATGGAATGAGGCTAAAAGCACTTACTTTTACAGGGGAAACATTTCAGAGCTTGAATTTTCATTCGAAAATATCAAAGGCTGCTATTAGTGGAATAATTCCGGATGTATGTGACGCTATTTGGGCTAGACTGAAAGGCATATTTTTGAAGGTAAACATTTTTAGTTCGTACTTTTTATGAACTTGTACGAAATTCTCCTTTTTTAGTTTCCAAACANAAGCTTGAATTTTCATTCGAAAATATCAAAGCCTGCTATTAGTGGCATAATTCCGGATGTATGTGACGCTATTTGGGCTAGACTGAAAGGCATATATTTGAAGGTAAACATTTTTAGTTCGTACTTTTCATGAACTTGTACGAAATTCTCCTTTTTTAGTTTCCAAACAGCTCTTCGGAGTGGGAGTCCATAACAAATGAATTTGCTATACGATGGCAATTTCCAAATTGTTTAGGCGCATTAGATGGGAAACATCCCTGCAAGAACAGTGAGTATCATTTNTATGAACTTGTACGAAATTCTACTTTTTTAGTTTCCAAACAGCTCTTCGTAGTGGGAGTCCATAGGAAATGAATTTGCTATACGATGGCAATTTCCAAATTGATTAGGCGCATTAGATGGGAAACATATAACCTTCAGGTCGTTGCGAAAAGATTGAGCATTTTACCACAACTATAAAGGTACAAACAGCATTGTTTTATTGGCACTTGTAGAGATGATGCGAGAGTTTTTTTGCAAAGCAAACTTTCCATGGTTTTACGTGAAGAGAGGGGCTTGCCAAAAAATGCCACAATTGGAAATAACCGCTGCCTGCCATATGTTATTGTTAGCGATGATGCTTTCCCGCTGCAGACACACATAATGAAGCCGTACCCCTATCATTCCAACTCTCGCGAAAAGCAAGTCTTCAACTCACGGCTTTCTCGCGCCAGGCACGTCGTAGAGCATTCTTTCGGAATTCTCTCGAACAGGTTCCGAGTTTTTCTTGCTCCAATTAATTTAAAAGTTGAATCGGTGCAAAAAATTACCCTAGCTTGCTGTGTTTTGCACAATTATTTAGCAGTAACCAACAATACAAGAAACGTAAACTACTCTCCAGCCGAAGGGTCTGCTATTGTTTCAGGCATTTCCTACAATCCACGTAGAGGTGGGGCGGNATAGAAACCAACACTACAAGAAACGTAAACTACTCTCCAGCCGAAGGGTCTGCTATTGCTTCAGCCAGTTCTTACAATCCCCGTAGAGCTGGGCCGGAAGCTATCCGTCAAGAATTTATGGCGTATTTCAACAACGAGGGGAGAGTAGACTGGTGATATAAATAAATAAATCTCTTTTTAGGCAAAAGCCAAAATGTATTTATTTTCAAAATATTAAATAAAAATAGTACATAATTCATTACGTTGCAGCACAACAAAAATACGTTCTTTAATTTAGATATATGTGTGAATGTAGATACAGTCAATATAAAAAGTTAAGGTACACGGGTTTTCGTTGTTTGAATTTCACAAACAAAACCTTGTACTTCAATGGTTTCATTAAAGAGCTTTTTCCTAAACTACACTTACACATAACTTATATAATAATAATTCAGTCTTTCGTAAAAAAAAAAATCATCACAAATTTTGTACATTAAAAAGAAATAAATAAAATAAAAATAAAAATACACATTCCAGGTATTTCTTCTATTTCACAGCACTAATTGTTATAAGGAGTTGTAAAAATAAAGAGATAAACATTTTTGATTTGCTTTTATAGAACGGACATCCATATTACTTACAGTCATTCAAAATCAGTTTTATAAAAGACTCCACTCATTGCATCTTGAAGCAGGTCACACGAAACAGGTTGCGAAGATGAGGCGTTCTTAGATTTTTGCACCAATCTTCGCATAAGGCATTGAACCTCCCNCGTTCTTGCACCAGTCTTCGCATAAGGCATTGAACCTCCCACGCAGCGTCGTCTTGCTGTTCGGGAATTATCTCCTCCATTTGGGTTGCTACCAAGTTACCCAGCCAAGAAAATGGCTTCGTGCGTTTTTCGCAGATTCTGTCTTTGAATGAGGCCAAATCCTTCGGTAACCTGTACAGTGCACCGTCCTTAAAAAAATAACTTAATAGTATCTCAAAACATGCAACAGTGTCTAAAGTATTTAAACTTTAAACAGTAATAAAATTAACTGGAGATTATCCACACCTTTGCCCGTTTCTTCTGTGGCTCTTTGCTAGCGCCACTGCTACTCGCTTCAGTGCTCTATAAACAAAGATGAAATTAAATTGTATATACATTTTTTTTGTTACGTATGCTTTATTTACTTACTATATCAATAAATTCACTTAAAGTCGTTTGTGGGCTTAGTGGGGAAGAATGAGAAATACTCGATGGGGCTCCTGGGCTAAACTGAGAAAAGTTTGAGACATCAGACGAGGTGCCTCCTGGGCTTTCGGGCGGGGGGGTTACATCCTTAAAAGTAAAACACGTATTTTTTAATAAACATGAGAAACAAAATTCAAATGTTATCTCAAAATTACTCTGTCCGCTCCTTATTTGTGTGTGGGCTTCAAGAAATTGTAATTGTGTATAACACCACAATTTTGGTGTGTACATACGCAGAGTCCTGAACCACTTTTTTTAGAAGCCGGCAACTCTCGCATCTCTCTCAAAAACTGTGTCCTCAAATTTTTCCACTTTTTCTTCACTTCTATTACGTCTAATTGCGGCATTTCCAAATCTTCGCAGATTTTATCAAACGCTTGGGCTTTGGCGTTGCGGTCTAAATAACCTGCACACTTTAGATGCATTCATACTGCTGCACCAAATTTATCAGATTTTCAATCTCCGCTTGAGTCCATTTGATTTTTTCTGCCATGGCTGCGCTAAATAAGCAAAGAAGCAAATTAACATACATATGTAAATACGAAAATTTATTTAAAAACTTTAGTTCTCAACTCACCTTTTACTTATAATCACAAATTTTATCAGAGTTTGTAAGTGCCGGGTAAACGAAGCGTACAGAAATTTGCGAATATGATATCAACGGAAATGTCAGAAAATTGCCTGCTCAGAGTTGCTCTGTGTGAAAGCGATGGGCAACACAAAAAGAGAAATTGACGAAAATGAGCAACAAAAGTTTCTCCGTCTGAACCTAGACTTATGAAAAAAAAACCCTTAAGCGGACGCGAAGCTCCAACAAGCGGCCAGTTTTGTTTTTTTTTCAGTCAGATGTTGACTTTTGCGCTTCTACATATCGCCACCTGAAATGCAAAATAACGTAACATCATCGTCACTGAAATGCAAAAAGTCGTAACTTATAAAAAATTCAAAATTCACTTTTTGATTGCTATGATGGATTTCTTCAAATTACAACTCCCCACATCGTTTTATGAAAAAAAAAATAGTCACGACTTTTTCCATATCAGTGGCGATGATGTTACGTTATTTTACATTTCAGGTGACGATATGTATATGTACACAAGAACATAGTCCATATTCAAAGATATTTTCTTTTCTAGAAACAGTGTTGCCTTTTCGTTGCCCTCGTCTTGCTGCCTGAGCGAAGCGGGCAATGAGATTTGTCGGTAGGAAAGAAAACGCCATAAATTTGAATTTATTCTTTAATCATCCTGTTTCTGTCTATAGAAGAATAAATATTTTTTTAATTTAGAAACCCGCCGTTTCAGTTTTTTATATTTGAGTTTTAATTTTATTTCTTACGAAATTCCCATAAGCGGTCATCTCTCATAGGCGGACAAAATGTAGGTGACCGTCGGTGGATAATAGAAAAATGCATAGAAAAAAACGCTTGCATTGCCACATTAGTTACAAAAATTTCGGGCTAATTATCATGCATCTAACGCTGAAGATTTTCAGGTGGATATTGCCTATACCGCTATTGCTTAATATTTTGCTCGATCTCCGGAAAAGATTGCCGAAAGATATATTAAACATTTTTGGAATATAATGCGCTAGATGTAAAAAATAATGCTTTCGAACGCGTAAGATCGCTTGGAAAACGATACAAATTTTTCTTAGAAAAATACGCTATCAATTTGATATTGAAATTGATACTGAAAGGATAATAGAAACATTCGTGAAAGGCAAGCGCAAAATTGAATTTGCAACTTAAATTATTATAAGCAAAAAGTTATGTTACTTAATTACATCCTCTATTTAACAAACATTGTAAGCAAGAAATAAGTATTTAGAAGTATATATTGCTTTAATAAGCCCAGCGTATAACTTTTTATCATGTGTTTTTTTTTACAAAATAGTTCAATTGTTTTATTACAGGGTATGCTATAAATGGACCATGCACCAAATTAACAAAATTAAACTTGCTAAAAGTTGGGTTGCCAGATTTTTTTGGCGCGAAATCAGTACATTAGACTTTTTCATGCTATAAAAATCAGTACTTTTCAGTACACTTTTATTCCAAGCAGAATTATGAATGTAAGTAGCAGATAATACTTGGAAACGCCAGAGTACATGTTTTTAATAATATCTTGGTATGGGTAAGGCTTCCACAAGTGGGCCCCAAATTTACCAAGATTATACTATTATTTACCAAGAAAAGCAAAAAAAAATTTGTACCGCAAACAATTTCATTGTATAGTTTAATGTTTTTTAACTCTGCACCCAAAAAAATTTTTTCATTCGGACACTTACTTTCAAAGAAAAATTTAAATTTCCAAAACACTGCAAAATTTTCAATTGTTGATTAAAAACAAACTATTTGGAATTTTGCAACAAAATTTACACAGTGTACTTTTCGACTAAAAAACTCGGCGCTGCCTGAATATCATTGAAAAATTATAATCTTGGTAAATTCGGGGCCCACTTGAGGAAGCCTTACCCGTTTATAAATAAAATGTTGTTCATAAAAAATAAAAATGTTATTCATTTTAATATGAGTATACACATTAACATGTAGTACGAGATACCTTCATAATACATATTACAGGAGCCAATCAATTATTTTATATACATGCCATTTTTTAATAGCAATAATGAGATCATTTCCACTTTCAGTGTTTAAATAGTCAAAGAACTCTAAACATTATACATATTTTAATATTACTTTTAATTTGAAGTTCGCTTTCTAAAATTTTAATTAGAAGTCAGTTTCTCTCTTTTCGCCAGGAAGCAAACTCTATATTTAAGCTAGTTCCTCTCAGGTGCTTCGTTTGAACGTGGTATTGAAAAAAACAAAATTACATATTTATTCAAACTGTGGAAAGAGACCTCTATTTAAGGACTGCATCCGTATTTTCTCATGGCTTAAATTATTTTTTCAACTGCGAAAAAACTTTGAAAGACTAAGAATACGCCAAAAAGAGTATCTAAATTCAATCAGTAAATTGTGAAAAACGAATTGTAAGTTGTAGGCAAAGCCATTCAATTATTCAAATTTGTTGTTTTTAAACTGAAAGTTATTTTCGAGATAACTAACAACACTCGACAAAAAATGTCAGCCCTCTGGTAGATAATGGCCCGCAATATGCCCATAAAACGATTGATCTTTTATATTAATTTCTTGCGCATATCAAACATTACCGAAAACAAGTCAGCTATATCTAAATTATTTTCTTCTTACTTTTTACAGTAAATTTTAAGAAAGTTGCAACGTTAATTAAAAGTCTTAAGCAAATCGTAAAGTATTTTGTTTGTGTAAAATAATATTACACAAACAAAATTCATGGGCAAAAATTATCGATCACCGAGTTACCGTGTACCAAGCTCGGTGGGAAGAACTCTATTACAAATTTGATTGCTCAGAATTGAAAAATTAGTACAAATTAGTACAAATTAATAAAAAATCAGGACATTAGCGTACTGATTGAAGGAATGAATAAAATCAGTACGAAAGTTGAAAAATCTGTACTGTACTGATAAAATCAGTACGTCTGGCAACCGTAGCTAAAAGTAAAATTGCTCGAACCTCTATTTGCATGAAAAATAAATGAGGGCTCAAGCAGGTTGGATGCTTGTAGGGTAAGGTCGAACTTTGATTGGTCACTCCCAGGTGAATCAAGTTAGAAGCCCGTAATTTAACGTTATTTGATAAGTTGATCCCAATCGCCCTCTTCAAATAAAATCCTGTGTCCGCCCCTGACCGTGTGTAACTATGTAGGTACATACACTCTAAAAAATTTTTGTTTAAATTTGCGCATATTAAGATAGGTAACCAGTTTCCTCTCTTAATGAATGCAAATTTACACACTGCTTGCTTACTTTTACTTATCATATGTGTGGCGTAGAACAAATTTCAAATTTGTTTTTTGAGTTTTAAACATTTATTGTTCACATCTTCACAGTTTACACATAAAATGTTTAAAATTTCCTCTAAAAAATGTTCGTTTAAATTTACGCATATAAAGAGAGGTAACCAGTTTCCTCTCCTAGTGTGTTATCACGTAGCGCACACAAGGGGTGGGTTTTGGGGTTAAATTTATTATGATTTATGAAATTTTGATAGAAAAAAATTTCTTTCCATTTCTGGTGCGTCATTTTGTAAGAATTTTTCTTTTTTCTTGAGACTTCAATTCTCGTATACAAATTTTGGAGTACCGTTCATTTTTTTATGATTTAATGATCGGATCTAAACCAAATTATGGGACGATCCTTAAGGTACCATCTATCCGGAATAATAAAAGAATAAATAAAAGAAGTAAAAATACTCCGAAGAATTGATAACCTTCCCTTTTTTGAAGCCGGTTGAAAATGTCTGAGTTCTTTGTAAATTTTATGTAAATAAAATGCAATTTATAAAACTTTAAAAAGTTTATTTATTTATTTCATACTGTACATAAAACTTGCATAAATGTATTTTAAAGAGCGAATTTTCAGTATTTTCTGATGATATATATTTAGAAGTATAAATCCTTTCCCCCCAAAAATATATTCCTGCGTGCGCCGCTGGCACTTAGTATTTATTATTTGTAAAAAAATTTATTTTTACTTTCAAAATGTTTGTAATTTTAAACATTACATGTGTATATTTATGTGTAAATTTTAAACAACTCATGTTCAAAATCAAATCTTGAACATCTTGTGCGTATACTTGAACAGATTCTGGTTGAAAAATAAACACTTTTCAGTAGTAGTTTTACATGCACTTTTTAGAGTGTATCTATTAAGAATCTATTTGCAACTTCGCGTTATAAACCTTGTTTTCTTTTTTCTTTCCAGGAATGATGACCGTGCTACTGCTTTATTGTTTGAACGAGTATGTACAAACAAATGTATATATACACATCAGATTCAGTTACATTGTTGAGTAAAACTTGCTGTCAATGATGAAGCAACAAAAGTTTATTAGGGTGCTCCGGAAAAAACGTAAAGTCGGAATTTTAATGCTACACCAAAAAATGCCCCTGTTATTTTATTTTGAATTAAAAAATCATTTAGAGGGTGCTCAAAGCGCTCAAAGTTTTCCATGCACATACATATGTATTTTATTTAAAAAAAAAAACAAATTTTCGTAGAAATGGTGTAGAGTTATTGCAAATCAATAGTTTTCGATCGGATAACTATGTTTCTCCTTAGAAGACTTCCAGTCATAATACCCATTTGTTTATTTAACCATTTTTTTATACTAACAATTTTTTAAGGGTCCCTTATTGCCTTTTTGGGGGTTTTGGGGGACCTTAAAAACAATTAGTACTAAAAATAGTTAAATAAGCAATTAGGTATTATTATTGGAAGTTTTCTGAAGAGAATTCAAGAACTCTATACCAATTCTAAAAAAATTTGTTTTTATATTAAAGACATGGAAAACTTTGAGCCAGTGTTACTGTTGTGCGACTAAAGTGTCAAATTGACACTTTTTGGAGATCGATGCCCCCTGACACCGACTTTTTAGAAATAGGCTTACTTTGATACTTCTCTTAAAAATCATGCGTCTTTTGCACCTTTTCTTTGATTTAAAATTCGATATACACTTTTAACAATTTTTTCCAAACAAATATTTCGTTTTCACGTGTTTAAAAATGCTTTCAGCATTAACTTTTCAAATGCACTTAAAAATTACATCTCTGGCAAGATGTTGACTGATTTCAACATTTTTATTATGTAAACATTTTGCCGCAAAAATATCCAGAAGTATCACGAATTAATGCACCATTTTTGTAGCGTAGCATTTTCCCAAGGTATTTGTATTAAATATATTTTCGTGGCTTCCGGTACAAACAAATAATCTGCGATAATTTAGTATATACAAACTTAAAAGGCTAAAGTTTGTTACAATAAG